TAAATTAAAAAGTAGTATAATTTCAGGTTTATAATGCAAATATTGTTTAAACTGAAAACATTTGGTATTTTGCTTACAATATTTTTTTAGTGATAATTTTAAATGTGTAGCTTTAAAGAAAAAACTTTTATGGAATTAGAGCGGGTGAGCAGCTGTTTCCACATTGTTAGGGCACAGAAGTTAGAGTTCCGATTGCCACATTAATCAGAAAGAATTGAGACTATGAAATCCATTTCATTTAATCTCATTATTGAATAAACAGCTCTGTAGTGATGCCTATTTGTACTTGTTTCTCTAATAAAAATGCAACTGTAGCTCTCAACACAAATTAGTTTTAATTATTTAAATGATATGAATTTGTCAAACATAAATAATCTAACACCTGTTTTGCCTTTTCATTTTATGAAAAAAATGTTTCGTGAAAACTAATAGAGGATGATAGTGGGGAATAACAAAGGTAGGTCTATGTATTTATTACAATTCTATTCAAAAAAATGCAAGTGTGAGTTGATTACTACCTAGCAGGATGAAGAAGCAGTCTGTTTCATTGCTATGCAAGGACACAACAGAAAACAGCAAAACAGAAGGATGTCTCACATACACTGGGTCAATGCAACTCACTTGTCCTGTGCTCATCTCTGAGAATTGGTGACAGTGATTTACAGTATAGCAATTCATCTTCTCAATACAATGATAACATTACAAAGCAATGAGTGGTGTAGCTTTTGAGCTGCTTAATTAAGGCACCAAAAGCTGCCATGGCAGTCACCAATATATGTGAAACAAACCTTCTCAGGCAAAGGAAAAGACAAATCTGAGTTTCCCTGCTCTGTATTTATTTTAGTAACTTCATTTCAGGAGATCTGTCTGATCATATATGAAGAGTAGCCCTCATGTCAGAAGAGTATAATGTGGTATAAAAACCAATCTCATCTCTGAAAATGGAGATCTGTTTGTTTTCTCCACAGAACAGTATAATCGTATTTGTTGTTTCTGTTTCATGCTACATTTTGTTTTAAAACATTTGCTATTCAAAATTCTGGATATCTTAACACACTTCCCTGAATTCATTTATCATTTGGTTGAAGAGGGAAATTAAACATGTAATCCAGTTGTGGTTGGTGGTGGTGGCCTCATATGGCCCTTCAAGCAGTGATAATTTGTATGACTTTCTGTATATTAAACCATACTTTAATATTTATTCTGTTTGTGGTGTATTAACTGTTATCCTTTCTTGGTAAAGGAAATGTGCTAAGCAGATAGTTACTGTTCTAAATCAACAAGGCAATTTTAGAGTCACATGAAGCTGTTGAAACCTACCACTCAGTAGTTTGTCTGCCAGATTAATCATCTTTATTGTCCCTTCTGGAGGTGTCTCTCTTCCTTCGTGCAAAATATTTCCAGCAGGCAGGCTTATTGTGAGAACTTACGACACTCCAAGGATATGATTATGTGACCATCACAGTGCCCTACATATCAATAACATAGCCCAGGGTTTCAGAGCTGTCTTTTTTAAAAAATGCAAATTACAGAAAATGTTTTCTAAAGCATTTTATTATATTTCAGAGTGCATTTTCTCTCAAAATGCTCCTATGATTATTTTGTATTAGCTGTACTCCCTTCTCAGTGCAGTTAATTTAAAACACTTAAATTTTTGCATATCGGCCTCTTTTGTTAGACCCTTTGTTTGCAACATTTAATTATTGTTAAATAATCGGTAAATATACTACAGGAAGGGTACTGTGGGACTACTGAATTTGTTTCGATGTCATTGGAATTCAACTAAAAGTCAGTAGTTAGAATAAAATTATGTTTCTAGTGTTGCAACGGTCTACAGTATGTGACTACTCAAGAAAAAATCAGGATTTGATTTAGTTCTTATTTTTATAATAATTTTAATAAATTTTAACTTGAAACTATATAAATGTAAACTGCAATGTCATTTAAAAGAAAAAAAGCATATGCAAGAAAGCAGGATATTTTCAAAATTCCCACTATAAATCAGAGGGCACCTTCCTGTTGTAGTACTTCTGACATTGAAGAAGGGGTTAGTAACAGTCTTTAAGCCTCCGGAACTGCTTCACTGTTGATCTGACCACAGCTTTGGGAAGAAAAAAAATCTTTTTAGAGAAAAATTTCTTTTGCATTTATGTATTAGACTGAAAGTTTGGTCTTCATTTTTAATGGGCTGCTCTAAAAACATAGAACTATTTTACAACCTAGTTAGGTAGCTTGTAATCTAGATACATAAATTAATATAAGTAAAATGTGATAGTAGTATCTTTGCTGATGTTGCATTCAATGCTGCATTCAATGCTGCATTCAATGCTGCAATGTATCTCAAGAAGCCTTCATGTTACTAAAGATACTATGATGACTATTAAGCAAGTATATCAGGATAATCAGGTTTAATATTAGTATCTTTGAAACAATATCAAGTTGTATCTCAGTTTTTAAATATATTTCCCTAAATAAGTGGAGTTCTTTGTTATTTAATCTG